CTCTCACGGGGTGAGGAGAGGCCAGGGCACAGCTCGGCGGGTGCTCTGAGGGGCGTCCAGATCCGGGGCACACGCGCAGGGGAGCTGAGGGAGCCCTGCTGCCCGCAGGAAGCTGTGACCGTGCCACTCCTTAGGCTCCATGGCAAGGGGTCAACATCACTCTGCCGGGATGAGGAAACCCAAGAATGAGCACACGTGAGCTGGCGACCTGGTGCAAGAGCCGGGATTTGGGGAGGGGGTTGAGAGCTCGGCTCAGTGCTGGCCCAGCCCTGCTCCACAGGGCTGTACTGGCCCTGGCAGTGGGGCGCGGGAGCTGGTCCCCTCCTCGCCAGCCCCGTGCATCCCTGCTCTCCCCTTGTCCTGCCAAGCAGGTTAGCGCTGCCCCGTTACACTGCCCTCGGCCCGGCAGGGGATGCCTGCTGGGGCGGTATCCTTGGGGTGCGCTCCGAGTACGCCAGCCCAGAGAGCTGCTCTGGAGCAAACTGGCAGCAACCAGGGAGAGCAGGGCTGTGGCACCAGGGCACCAGAGAGAGGGGCTGTGCTGGGATCGGGGAGAAAGTGGCCTTGGGAATTGGAAATGATGCTTCCTAAGCGAGTGCGTGGAGCTGGAGGCACAGGGATGCCCGCTGCCAGGAACCAGGGCAAGCGCCGCCGCACTGGCTCCAGGGTGATACGGGCAGAGCTGGGACGCAGCCCACCCAGCCCCAATGGGCACAGCAGGGGGACGGCCCCCAGGAAGCGTTCCCAGCTCCCGCGGCATCCAGCCGTGTCCCAGTCCCCTCGCTCTGCCTCTGCCCCTCGCTGTGCCCCCTGCCCCACTGCTGCAGCCCCCGGCAGCCCCGCTCCCCCCGCGTGGTGCTCACAGTCCCCGCCTGGGTGCCCAGGGATGGAAGCTGCCGCGCTGACGCCAGCATTGCAACTGCCCGGGATATGAGATCCGCCTGGATTCAGCAATTTCAACTCATTTCAAGCCCGATTCTGCAGCAATTTTCTGAGCCAGTGGGATGCTTTTGCCTTTGCAAGCATTGCCCCTCACGCACGGTCGCACTGTTTCCCTTCCCACTTTCCAGGAGGGATAAGGAACGGTGCCAGTTTGGCTTTACCCCAGCTCCAGCTCTTGTGCAATCCACCCCCCCCCAACCTGCAGCCCCTCGACGCAGTGCCCCTGCCCCATGCAAAGCTGCTGCTGGAAGCCGGGATGGCTCCTGTGCTGCCCAGGCTGAGCCTGGACACCACTGCGCGTGCTGGGGGCCAGGGTCCCACCTGCACGGGGTTTATAGGCTCCGCAGTGGGGACAAAGCCTCAGTCCCAGGAGTCCAGGGCGTCTTCGGCCCCAAGCAGGACGCACCGGTGTGAGGCTGGGCTCTCCGTGTTTCTGCCGTGGTGCAGAGGGCCCAGGTCTGCAGCGTCCTCTGCAGCCCCCCGGCCCGTCTCCCCAGGAGGAGGGAGAGCCGCGGAGCCAGGGTGCTGCTGCCTCATGCAGTGATGCTGCGGGCTCTTCTCGGAGGGGCTGCAACCCCTCTAGCCCCTTCCCTGCACAGCCCCGGCGTGGGCCAGACCCAGCCGGCCGGGGCCCTA